CCATCTAGTTATCAAATACTTCGCTGAAATTTATATTTAGAGAAAGCCTGTAATCTACAAGTCAAATAAGAAATTTTTTCCTTTTTCCATAAGGAAAGGCATCTAGGTGGCGCCATCATGCGTAGAGTGCCAGGCCTGGAGTCAGGAAGACTCATCTTCATGAGTTCAAATCCAGCCTCAGACACTTAGTAGCTGGGTGACCCTGGGCCAGTCACTTAACCTTGTTTGCCTCAGTTTCTTAATCTATAAAATGAACTGGAGAAGGAAATGACAAACCATTCCAGTATCCTTGCCAAGAAGACCCTAAATGTGGTCATGAAGAGTTAGACAAGACTGAACAACAATAAGGAAAGGTGATGAGGGGGACCAGGGGGCAGAGCCAAGATGGCAGGGTGAAAGCAGTGACTTGCTTGAGCTCTCCCCCAAACCCCTCCAAATACTCATAAAAAATGGCTCTAAACAAATTCTGAAGCAGCAGAACCCACAAAAAGACAGAGTGAAACAAATTTCCAGCCCAAGACAACCTGGATGATTGATCAGAAAGGTGTATCGTGCCGGGCTGAGAGCACGGCATGCAGTGTGGGTGCGCAGGCCTCAGCGAACCTGAAGCAGGCCTCAGAGTACTGAATCATGGGCAGCTGTGGAGGTTTCCAGACTCCTCAACCCACTAATGCCAAAGACAACTTAGAAGGTCAGTGGGAAAAGTCTGTTTCTGTCAGTGCTGAGAAGAGAAGGTGGGGTTTCAGCTTCATTCCCCAAGAGCATGGCCCTGGGGGGGGCAGCTGCTTCCCAAGCTTCCATACCACAGACTGAGGGGGAATCCAGTGGCTGATCAGAGAGGGATTGCAGGGATCTCTTTGCCAGTGCTGAGGCAGGAATCTCTTGCTTTGCCCGTGTTTGGATCTGGGTCATGGTTCTGGGCGGCGGTGCTAGGGTGAGGAGGAGCACTGGCATGGTGGAGCTTGGAGTGGCTGTGGAGAGGAACCCCTCCTCACAGTTACAGGACAGAAAGGAATACTTGTGGTCACAGGCCAGGAAAGGAGTAAACACCTCACCCCTTATCATACCACCTTGGAAGAACTGAAAATTTACAGGTCCCTACAAGTATCTCTGAAAACAGCTATACAAACCCCTGAAGCTTGGGACAGTACATTCTCCACATTGGAAGCAGACTCTTACCTTAACAAAGAGTTTAAAACTCAAGTAATTGGCTGGGATCACGAGCAAGCAGCTCAAAAAGAGTCAGACCATAGAATCTTACTTTGGTGACAAAGAAGATCAAAATATACAACCAGAAGAAGACAACAAAGTCAAAGCTCCTACATCCAAAGCCTCCAAGAAAAATATGAATCAGTCCCAGGCCTTGGAAGAGCTCAAAAGGGATTTTGAGAAGCAAGTAAGGGAAGTAGAGGAAAAACTGGGAAGAGAAATGAGAGTGATGCAAGAAAATCATGAAAAACAAGTCAACAGCTTGCTAAAGGAGACCCAAAAAAATACTGAAGAAAATAACACCTTAAAAAATAGCCTAACCCAAATGGCAAAAGAGGTCCAAAAAGCCAATGAGGAGAAAATGCCCTAAAAAGCAAAATTGGCCAAATGGAAAAGGAAGTCCAAAAGCTTACTGAAGAAAATACTTCCTTAAAAATTAGAATAGAGCAATTGGAAGATAGTGACTTTATGAGAAATCCATGACACAGTAAAACAAATCCAAAAGAATGAAAAATTAGAAAACAATGTGAAATATCTCATTGGAAAAACAACTGACCTGGAAAATAGATCCAGGAGAGAGAATTTAAAAATTATTGGACTATCTGAAAGCCATGATCAAAAAAAGAGCCTAGACATCATCTTTCAAGAAATTATCAAGGAAAACTGCCCTGATATATTAGAACCAGAGGGCAAAATAGAAATTGAAAGAATCCACAGATCTCCTCCTGAAAGAGATCCCCAAAGGAAAACTCCTAGGAATATTATAGCCAAATTCCAGAGTTCCCAGGTCAAGGAGAAAATATTACAAGCTGCCAGAAGGAAACAATTCAAGTACTGTGGAAACACAATCAGGATAACACAAGATTTAGCAGCTTCTACATTAAAGGACTGCAGGGCATGGAATATAATATTCTGGAGGGCAAAGGAGATAGGATTACAACCAAGAATCACCTACCCAGCAAAACTGAGTATAATCCTTCAGGGGAAAAAATGGTCATTCAGTGAAATAGAGGACTTTCAAGCATTTTGATGAAAAGACCAGAGCTGAATAGAAAATTTGACTTTCAAATACAGGACTCAAGTGGAACATGAAGAGGTAAACAGGAAAGAGAAATCATAAGAGACTTATTAAGATTGAACTGTTTACATTCCTGCATGGAAAGATGATATTTATAACTCATGAGACCTTTGTCAGTATTAGGGTAGTTGGAGGAAAAAAATTATATGTATTATATGTAGATAGATAGATAGAGGGCACAGGGTGAGTTGAAGATTAAGGGGTCATATCTGGAGAATAAAATTAAGGGATGAGAGAGGATTATACTGGAGAAGAAGAAAGGGAGAGGTAGAATGGGGTAAATTATCTCACAAAAAAAAACAGAAAAGAAAAGTCTCTTACAGTGGAGGGGAAAGGGGAAGGTGAGAGGGAATGAGTGAATCTTATTCTCATAGGATTTGGCTTAAGGAGGAATAACATACACATTCAATTGGGTATGGAAATCTGTCTTACCCTACAGGAAAATAGGGGGAGAAGGGGAAGAGAGCAGGGGATGATAGAGAGGAGGGAAGATTGGGAAAGGCAGTAATCAGAAGCAAATACTTCTGAGGAGGGACAGGGTCAAAAGAAAGAATAGAATAAATGGGAGGGCAGGATAGGATTAAGGGAAATAGAGTTAGTTTTTCACAACATGTCTACTATGGACGTGTTTTGCATAACTGCACGTGTACAACCTATATTGAGTTGCTTGCCTTTTCAATGAGGTTGGGGGGGGGAGGAAGAAAGAAAATTTGAAACTTAAAGTTTTAAAAACATATGTTTAAAAAACATGTTTTCACATGCTACTGGGAAATAAGAAATACAAGAAATGGGGTACAGAAGTCTATCCTGCCCTACAGGAAAATAGAAGGGGAAGGGGATAAAAGAAGGGGAGAGAGATAGAAGAGAGGACAGACTAGGGGAAGGGATTCAGAATGCATGCCATCTTGGGTGGGGGGAGGGGGAGATGAGGTAAAAATTTGGAATTCAAAAACTTGTGGAAGTGAATGTTGAAAACTAAAGATAAATAAATTTGTATTTAAAAAAAAGAAATGAATAAAAAAAAAAGGTGATGAGGGTAGTCTGGTTTGACCTTTTCTTGGTGAAGCGCTGATAGCTCTTTTCTAGTCATTGCTTCCTTCTCTAGAGGTTCACTAACTCTTCCTTTAGTAATTAATATGTTCAAGAATTTACCAAGAATCGAAGTCAAGTTCACTGGTTTCTAGTTTGAGTGTGACTGCAGGTGTGCTGGACTTTGAGTCAGGAGCTTTGTTTTTAGGTCCCAGTTCTGACGTTTATTATTGTGTGGCACTGGTCTAGTCACATGCCTAAAAATTAATAATAACAGCTTCTCAAGTCTGTATAGTTCTTTATGAAGTATTTCTCTCCTAGTCGCAGCATTTATTAAGTACCTAGTATGTGCCAGGCAACCAGCCTTTATTAAGTACCTACTATGTGCTAACCTTGGGGAATGCAGAGAAAGGTAAAAACCAAAGAAAGCAAGAAACAACAGTCCATGCTCTCAAGGTGCTCATAGTCTAGTGCAAATATCATATAGTTTGAGCAAAAATCATTATCCCCATTTTACAGATGAGAGAATTGAGACAAAGAAATAACATAACTTTCCTGTGGTCACATGGTTAATAAAAGGGTCAGAGTCAAGATTTGAGTTTAGGCATTCTGACTTTAATTCCAGAGCATTTTCCAGGGTGCTCACACTCCTTACCTCATAGAGTTAGTACAGAACATTTAAAAAAATGTAATTGGGGTTGGGTCTTTTTTCTTTTTTCTAGTCATCATTAGTACTAGTATTTTTTGGACTGGATCTGTGATTTCATTGGTGGAGGAAACTCCCAGGAGAGGAAACTCTCTCCATCACTATACATCTGAGCACCTGCTTCACAACTTTTGCAGTCTTAGAGAGTGGCCTCTGACTCTGAGAAATCCAGGCTCACACATCTAATATGTATCAGAGGAGAGATTAGAAACCAAATGTTCCTGACCTGTGCTAGGCTTCTCAGTGGTAGTGTTGTAAATGGCAGTCCTTTGAACAGCCTAATGAAAAGTTGAATGGGCTTCCTTGGGCTTGAAGATAGTGAACTCTCCTTCACTGGGGGTCTTGAAGAGAAGGAGGGCAGCTAGGTGTTGCAAAGGATAGAGCACCAAGCTTGGAATCCGGAGGACTTGAGTTCAAATATGGCCTCAGGCACTTAATAGCTCTGTGACCCTGGGCAAGTCATTTAACCCTGTTTGCTTCAGTTTCCTTATCTGTAAAATGAACTGGAGAAGGAAATAGCAAACCGCTCCCAGTGTCTTTGCCAAGAAAACCCCAAGAGTTGGACACAACTAAAACAATTAAGTAACACATTGAGGAGAAGGCTGGACGACTAGTTGTTAAGGCTTTTGTAAAAGGAATCTCTGTTCCCGTGTAGATTATACCAGATGACCTCTGAGGTCCCTCCCAACTCGGAGGATCTGTAATTCATTGACCTTTGCTTGATAGAATTTTAAGCTTAGGAGAACTATTTTGGGACAAGGTAGCTACTTCAAATAATGTCATCTGGTCACTCTATCCTACCTACCTTCCCTCCTGATGTGGAGGGCCGGGGAATTGCTATTCTTTGCCTTTGACCTAAGTTGAGAAAATTCACTTGACAAGCGAAATGAGATTTATCGTGTAAATTCATTTTCAGTGCATATTTACAGTATAAAGCAATCACTTTATCAGCATTTGTTTTATTTTTATTTTTAACAGAGGATCAGACAAGGCACAGATTTACACTAATTGGATCAGTCTTGTTTGTGGCATTCATTACTGTAGTCCTTTACAGAACAACAGTATTAGGTATGTATAATTTTTTAAATTACTTTCCAAATTGTTTTACATATTTTTCGAAGTTGTAGAAAGAATGGTTTGGTAATGTAAACCACTGGTTTGAAATGTTAGGCATTTAGAAGGATGCATGAAAATTGGTTGTAGTTTTTCATGTTGTAGTTTTTCAATAATTGCCTAAAATTTGGGGTTGCTTGACATTCCAGTTTTCTCCATGGTGATGAAGCATTTTAACTAATAATAATAATAGCATTAATAACCAACATGTATGTATCATAAAAGGACCTTTATGTATGTCATCTTTGGCCTTGGAGAATGCTGGTGCAGGGATGTATCTACTCTTGCCACAGATTCCTTTTTCTAAACTGGTGCTCCTAGAAGTTAACCAAATAGCCTGGGATGAGGGGCGACAATTTTTTTTTGTCTGCCCCAAAGTGCTCACGGATAGGAGTTATGATAATAATGTTGTTTCCAGAAGTAGGTCCAGATCACCTGACAACCATGGAACAGATCCAGCCTCTTTAGGATTCTCCAAACAGAGCCCCAACAGGCCCAGCATCCTAATGAAAACTCTTAAGGACTTTGGACACAGTTTAGTCTTTTTGGGTGTGATAAAGGGCACTCCCCCCCTCCCCCATGCCTCAATGGCCTGGTTGCTATCCACATCAGATAAGCACATAAGATTATAAAGGTTTCTGCTGGAGACAGTCACCAGCCAGGGAAAGAAGGCTGCATTTGCAATTAGAGGAGCTGAGAAATCTGTGTGACCTTGTATAGGTCACTCTACCACAATTCCTCGTTTGTAAAATGAAGGAGTTGGCCCAGATGGGTTTGATGGACCTCTGAAATTCCTTCCGGCTCTAAATCTGAGACCCAATGACACATTTCAGCTTTTTCGATCCAGTGATACTGGGCTCTTGACTGTTCTATGAACACAACAATCCCTAACTTAGCCCTGGGAATTTTCTCTCACAGCCTCTCATGCTTAGAATGGCTGATTGACTCAGCCTGTTAACTTCCCTAACTCAGTGTAGTCTCAACTTGAAAAAAAAAATCTTTAGTCTCAGCTAAAATTCCATCCTTTACAGGAAACCACTTCCAACTTCTCTTAATTCTAGTGCCTTCTCCCTGTTAATTATTTCCTATTTATTCTTTATATGGCTTGCTTTACATATATTTGTTTGTGTGTTGACTCCTCTGTTAGATTATAAGCTCCTTGAGGGCAGGGAGACTGTTTTTTGCCACTTTTTGTATCCCCAGTGCTTATCACAATGTCTGGCACATAGGCGTTAAGAGGTCGCTGACCTCTAGGTCTCCCCAGGTGCTCCATGCTGCACTCCCCCACCTCCCTGCCATGCTGTTTTTTGTTCTTCCTCTTGCCCCTACCCAGAATCCACAGCATAGCTGGGGCCTCAGCACAACCTCAGCTGAGTCATCAGGAAGAGGGCCGGAGTTAGAAAGCACACCACTCCCAAGAGACCTTTTTATAACAAATCAGAGAGGAAGCTAGTCTAAAGTAAGTTTATCACATTTTATCATTGTAGCTCTGCTGTTAGATACTATATTTATATGTTGTGAATTCTTCTTTCTTTGGTTTTGAATTCACAAGACTTGAGTTGGCTTGGCACCATCTGTAAATGGTAATTGTAGCTATAGACTGGATTTCCAACAGAGGCAGCCACTTAGATATCAAGTCAGGTCTACAAGCAATTATGAATCACCTGCTGTGTACCAGGTACCGCGTTGGGTACTGGAGAATACAATGTAAGGCACATAAAGTCCCAGCTCACAGTCAAATGGGGGAGAAAGTATGCAAACCATTATATTTGCATGGTTAAGGGACTTCGCCAGAGTCACACAGCTAGTAAGTGTTTGAGACTGGGTTAGAACTCAGGACTTCTTCACTCTAGGAATGAGATGCATTAATTGGAGATATTCTCAGAGGGAAGGTGCTAAGTCTATGTCCTGAAAGTGCCCGGCCATTTTTTAATTGACTGAAGCCAATTCAGGTGGTACAGTGGATAGAGTGCTGGTCCTGCAAGCAGGAAGACCTGAATTCAAATCTGGTCTTACACACTCAGCAGGTGTGTGACCCTTGGCAAGTTATTTAACCCCTGTTTGCCTCAGTTTCTTCATCAGTAAAGTGGGGATAATAGTAGTACCTGTCTCCCATGGTTGTCGTGAGGATCAAATGAGTTACTATTTGTAAAGCGTTTAGCACAGTGCCTGGCCCATAGTAGGTGCTATAGAAATGTTTATTATTTGTTCTGTGTGGCTAGTTTTGTTTGCTTTCCCCCCTCTCCTGTGGTCATTGTTGCCAGACTCCTGATTGGAGCTTGGGTTCAGCTTCCTCTCTGGGTAAGGCAGATTCCCTTTTGTCAGGGCAACAAAAACCCTTGGATAAAGAGAGTAGATTCGTGGTGTAAGACACAGGATGACACAGACAGCAGAAGTGAGGAGGGCAGGATGAACAAGGTGTGGCAGGGAAGGGCCACTCTGACTGGCTGCTGTTCCCTCCTTTATGTTTTTTTCCTGGAAGGTATATGCCTTTACCATCAGGACACATGTACACATACAAACATATACATGTGAGAGTATGCATTCTGCAAGGACGTGTTCCTTTCCTCTCTCCTGCTTTCACAGCCCCCTCACATCCTGCTCAGGTCTTTGATGTCCCCAGGATCTAGCTCACTCTCTCTGCCTGCATCAACACTTTTCAAACATTCAGTGGGATGGTCACAGCTTCTTCCTCTTCAGACGTCCCACAACCTGTTCACATATGCTGCCCCACTGTGGCCACTTCCTTAACTGCAAGCGGCTCTTGGCTCTGTGTCCTTAGACTCAAACTTGGGGGCTGGCTCCATGCCTCTGAGCAGCTCACAAGCCATCCACAGCTCACCTTATGTAGTTCTTGTCAGTGTTCAAAACAACACAGGGGAAAAATAAAATCACTCAAAAGCTAAGAAAGTAAGTTTGTTTTGAGGTGACTTTTAAACTGGTCATAAGACCATTAAGATTTGGAGCTGGAAAGGACCTCAATGGCTGTTGAGTACAATTCTTTCATTTTACTTATGAGAAAACTGAGACAAGTTTATTTACCCAGGGTCATACCACTAGTAGGTATCTGGAGCAGGGTTAGAACTCAGGGCTTCCTGACTCCAGGCCTAGCATTCTGTATCCACTGTGTCCCCTAGGTGACAATTCCAAAAGGGAGGGCCCTTTTAACCTTTTCTACCAATTGGTTAAGGAGCATAGGATTCAGTCATAAGTGGGCAGTAAAATAAGAATTTATTTTTAAGAATTAGAATTATTCTTACTTAAATGGCAACAACTTTAATAACACACTGTACTGAAACCAGACCGTTACCATGGATAGTATCATCACCCACAATCACCCAGGCATAATAATGACACATTTAAAAAACACACACCAGGGGAAGCTAGGTGGCACAGTGGATAGAGCACCAGCCCTGGATTCAGGAGGACCTGAGTTCAAATCCAGCCTCAGACACATAATACTTACTAGCTGTGTGACCCTAGGCAAGTCACTTAACCCCATTGCTTAGCCAAAAATAAAAAATAAATAAAAAACACATACCACGAATCCACCAAAAAACTAAGAACACTGTTTTATAATAGATGTCATCATACCAGATACTCATCTCCAAACCTTGTGGAGCCAAAAAACCTTCAAAATTGATCTAGCAGAATCATTTGAGAACAGGACAAGGGAAAGGTATCATTTCCATCATCCAGTCTGCTGCTACTGTAATTGTCCTCTAGATGCTTTCAGTGACCACATAGAAGATAAACTTACAGCCAACACTTGGACTAGTATCTGTGGCACCTACAGATTTTACACTTGTAGTATCCAACTACAAAAAGTAGTTGACTTGTCCACCATGCTGTAGTACTCAGGACATGAAATATAAAAGTATAAAGAACATCAGGAAAGCAACTTATTTGAAGATTGTCTTTGTCTTGATCTCAATGTAAAAGAAGTTAATGAGATTGTTATTATTAACGACAACAATAATAGGCATTGACTTATAGTGAGTAGAGAATTGGCCTTTGAGACAGAAGGTCTTGGATTCGAATCCTGTCTTTGACACATACTGACTCTGTGACCCTGAGCAAATCACTTTACCTTTCACTTATCAAAGTTGCCAGGTGCCTTCTGATCTTTATCAGTAGAGGAAGCTCTACACCAGGAGGGAAAGGAGAGAACAGGCAGTTATTAAATGCCTGCTGTGTGCTAAGTGGGGGTAATGAGTAAGCAATTATAAGGCACCTACTGTATTCCAGGCACTAATGCTAAGTACTTTGGAAATATTATCTCTCTTGATCCTCAGAACAAGCCTGCAAAGTAGGTGCTATTGTTATCTTCATTTTATGGTTGAGGCAGGCAGAGGTAGACTTGCTCAGAGTTGCACAACTAGTGTCTGAGGCTGGATCTGAACTCAGGTTTTCCTGATTCTGGTTCATCATGCTACCTAGCTGCCTTAAGTGCTTTACAGATATGATCTCATTGATTGTAGGAGCCCTCTACACAAATGACATCATAGATACCAACAGATATAACAATGATAATACCGGCAGAGACCTACGTTGGGATAGTGATAAGAGCACTACCTTGGAGGCACAAGAGAATGGGATTCTGATCCCGCCTCTGACACTCACTGGCTATGTGATCATAGTCGAAGCAATAAATGCTAATAACCTCTGTGATACTTACCTCATAGGGTGTTATGAGAGTCAGTGAGAAAAAAACATCTGTACATTATTTTGCAAACCTTGAAGCATTATGCATATGCCAGTCGTTATTTTATTAGTAGGAATCCAACTTTCCCATTTTAGAGATGAAGAAACTGAGGTCCAGAAGGGGTCAGGTAACTTGGGCAAAGTCCCATAAGTAGTAAGTAGGAGGGCCAGGATTCAAGCCCAGGTCCTTCAATGTCAGATCTAGTCCTTTTTCCCCTCTACCACATTTCTTCTATCCAATTCCACCTGTTTCAGTGCCCATCTACTGCCTTGGGAACATAAAGACAATTCTTTGTTAGCTAGAGGCAGATGATTCTGTACTCTAGGGATCCTCCAGGTCTTTATCCCGTTCTGTGATAGTTTTACTGCTTATTCAAGCCCCAGGTTTGGTCAAGGAAATGGATAGAAGCTAAGATGACAACCCTCCATTTCCCAACTATCCAGCATGCCTAGTGAGAGACAGAATGGTTGCATCTGTTGCCAGCACTGAATTCCAGACTCAGTGGTGCACATTGGCTCCTACATTGCTGGGCCTTAAGGAGCTTTAGAGATCTTTGACTAGTCCAATTCCCCCACATTTTACACAGGAGAAAACCAAGGTTCAGATTGGTGAATGAAGTAACTTGTCTTCCTTGATTCCCACTGAAATCCTTCACTTTTTTTTTTTAAGGAATACTTCATTCTCCCTGACACCAAAAACTCCTTTACCTTCCCTCCTGTGAGTAGCATTGGCCTTCTCTTTGAGTATTAATAACTGTCCCTTGGCCATGACAGAAATCCACATGTGCTGTCTTCTCTACAGATCCTATCAGAGGCCTCCTTGTTCTCTCTCCTTGATGGAAGTGAAATCTCAGGCCTTTATAATCCTTGCTCTTAGCTCCCCTGGAAAACTCTTGTGAAACACTATTTGTAGGGTCTTCAGCTCTTAGCTCTTACTCTGCTTGCTTCACCAGCACATCCTAACCTTGCTAGGACTTTGCTAGGCACACTCAACTTCCTCTTATTCTTCTTTCCTCAGGGAGTTTGGTACTTGGCTCACAGCCTTTCTCTCCTCCCTCTCTCCTGCCCTCATGCTAGAACAGTTCAGCATCCATATTGATGCTTCCTCAGACACCCTGATCTCCAAGTTCTCCATCCAACCCATGTTTCCCCATCCTCAAAAAAGCCCCCTCACTTGATCCATCCAGGTACACTAACTGTCATCCTGCATTTCTCCTCCCTTAAATGGTTAAACTCCTTGAGAAAGCTGTCTATAATAGGTGCTTTTGTATCCCGTTCTTTAATTAACTCTGCAGTCTGGCCTCCAGCATCATCATTTGGCCAAAACTATTCTCTCTGAAGTTACCAGTGATCCTGTAAATCGAGTATTCTTTCCCCAGTTCTCCTCCTTCTTGACCTCTTTGCAACCTTTACCTTTGGGGTCACTTTCTTCCCCTTGATCCTAGCTGCTTCTAGTGCTTCACTGTTCCTTTCTGGTCTCCTATTCTGGACCTTTAACCTGGTCATTCACACTAGACCTAGGTATGCCCAGAGCCCCTGCCCTGAGCCCAGTCTTTTCTCCCACTAGATTATTTTGCTTGGTGGCCTCATCAGTTCCCATGGATTTAATTATCTTCTCTATATAGATGAGTCTCAGATTTATTTATATGGTCCTAAGCTCTCTCCTGGATATCAGTCTTACATCTTCAACTGCCTGTCAGACATCTTGAACTGAATGTGTCTGTAGATATATTGAACTCATCTTTTCTCCCATCTTCCTAACTTTCTTTTTGCTGTGCAGAAGGCTACTATCTTCTGAGACATCCATGCTCTCCACCTAGGTGTCATCCTCAACTCCTCACTCTCACCTCCCATATCCAATATGTTGCCAAGGATTGTTGATTTTACTCTACCCATCTCTCTCATTTGCCCCTTTTCTAGTTATGTCATGCCTAGACTATTGCAGTAGCCTACTGGGTGATCATCCTGCCTCGGCTCTCCCAACTGAAGTCCATTCTCCACTCAGTTTTCAAAGTGATCTTCCCAAAGCACCAGACTGATTTTATCTCCCCCTTATGCAATAATCTCCAATGGTCCTCTATTGCCTCAAGGATCAAATAGAAAATCCTTTATTTGGCATTTAAAGCACTTTATGACCTAGCCCCTTCCTACCTTTCCAGTTTTCTTATACTACTCCTCTCCACATACTCGGAATCAGACTCAGGTCCTCAGCTTCCAGATCTGGTCCTTTTTCTACTGCATTATCTTCTTCTAAATGGCAGTAATTTATAATTATATAGAATTTTGTTGTTTGCCCCAGACTTTCTGCATGACTACCCTGTGAAGTAGGAAGCCTGAGAGCACTATTATCCTATTCTACAGATGAGGAAACTGAAGCTTAAGGATGGGAAATAACATGCTTCACATGTCTAGGCAGTGAAATGACTTAGTGCATAGAGTACTGGACCTGGAGTCAGGAAGATCTGAGTTCAAATTTTCCCTCAGACACTTACTAGCTGTGTGACTCTGGGCAAGTCACTTAACCTCTGCCTGCCTCAGTTTCCTTGTCTGTAAAATGGAGACAATAATAGTAGATACCATTACTCCGAGGGTTGTTGTGAGGATAGAAGGAGACAGTATTTGTAAAACTCTTTGTAAACCTTAAAGAAATATATAAATGTTAGCTATTATAATAAACGATAGAACAAAGTCCCAAAACCTGGTCATCTGACACCAAGTCCCATGTACTTTCTGCTACATACAACAAATTGTAACCAAATCCTCTCAGGCTTCTTTCTAATCACTCATTCAACAGCATACCAGAAATATTGGGGGATGTGAAGGAAGGAAAGCTTGGGAATCAGGTGGGTATAGCATCTCCCTCCTTTCCTGTTTTTTTTTTAATTTTTAATTCTTAGGCAGTTGCGGTTAAGTGACTTGCCCAGGGTCACACAGCTAGTTAAGTGTCAAGTGTTTGGTCCGAAGCCGGATTTGTACTCAGATTCTCCTGATTTCAGGGCCGGTGCTCCATCCACTGTGCCACTGCTGCCCCTCTCCTTTCCTTACAAAGATTCAAAGCACTTATTTTCATTTGCTAAATCCTTATAGGGAGGCTATCATCTGCTGTGTTTCATCTATAAGCTTAGTGGCTAGCAAGAAATACTGTTTTAAATCAGTGTATTTATTTGAGCAAAATTCCGTTACAGGAAACTGGAGGCACATCTCTTGGAATCCCTGGATTCTTTCCAGGGTTTGCTCAGGTTAACACCTACTCTGTGGAGCTTTTCCTCTTCTTCCCTCTCACTCCTGAGGTTACTTTGTGATTATTCATCTTTATATCTCCCTCTACCCCAAGAGAATGTAAACTCCTTGAGGCCAGGGACTGGTTTTTTTGTTTGTTTTGTCTGTGAATCTCCAGATCATAGCACTTGGCCTAGAACAATGGAAACACTTAATAATGTTTGTTTAATCGAATGGCATCTATTTTAAAAGGATTCATTGTTAGACACGAAAATGTTACTTGGTAACACCTACTAAAGAATGGGGGGTGGAGTGATTTCTCCTGTCTGTTGAGTAAAATCAAAACCCTTTTGCCAAGCATTCACACCTTCCCTCGTTCTAGAATCTAGCAAAGGGCTGTACGTATAATAGGTGTTGAATGCATGTTGGTTAAGTTAATTGAACTGAATTTTGGAAATTATTCACATGAACTTCTATTTTGTAGGATGATTGAACAAAAGATGAGCTCCAACGCCTACCAATGGAGTGACAGAAATATCTTTGGAAAATCTTTGCGTTCTTTTTGAGTGTTTTCTTCATGGAGTATATTACTGTTGAAACGCTAGCTCTTCTCCCACTGCAACTTCTCAAAGATAAAAGTTGGGAAACACTTGCAATTATAATATGCTTTTTTTTTTAAGTGCACTTTGAGCTCATGGAAATCATCTACCTCACTCACAGTTTTGAAGCCTTGTTGAGGCTGTTTTCATCCATCTGTGAAGTGGCTTCAGAAGAACCAGCCACCACCATCAACCAGCCTGGCCCAAGAAGAAGAAATGAGCACTAGGGAAGGAGTGGGGGGCAAGTTACCTGCTGCTAGAACAGATCATTTCTAATTGGTGTGCTCGAGCTTGGGCCTTTGGACAAGAGAGTTATGGATTTTCCCTTCTCTTTTTTTGGGAAGATTCTTTAAGGAAAGCTTCCTGCAGAAAGCAGGACATTTTGTATTAATGAGTCCTTTGTAATGTTGTAACAAGCTAGCCTGTCAGGAACCCCCAAAAGCCAGCATACCTAATTGAAACTGCAGCCCAAGGGAGTTTCTTAGACTTGCAGCTGTGACTGTGCTCTATCAGAAGCCATTGAAAAATTTTTTTGATAAATTGAAGAAAATTTGAACACATTTGTGTAAATATTACATATGTGAGTGATATTGTGTATATTTATATATTTTTTTCATTCACATATATGTATGTACACACATATATACTTTATTTAAAATTTTTAAAAAAGTATTCTAATATTGAGGCAGCTGGTGGTTGAGTGGATAGAGTACTGGGCCTGGAGTCACAAAGACCTAAGTTCAAATCCAGCCTCGGACACTTCTTGATTGTGTGACCTTGGGTGAGTCATTTAACTTCTGATTACCTGACAGAAAGATCCACTGGAAAAGTTAATGGCAAACCATGCCAGTATTTTTTTTAATAGTGTTTTATTTTCCCCCAATTACATGTAAAAACAATTTTTAACATTTGTGTTTAAATTTTTAAGTTCCAAATTCTTTCTCTTCCTCCCTCCCTCCCGATTGCCTCAAAAAAAAAAGCTTAACAAAATAAGAATTCTGCTACAAGCAATAACTAAGTTCAGAAATGAAGTTCATGTTCTACAAAACATGAGAAATAAAACTATGAACTAAGAATGTAACAGCAAAGCTGCCTGGTATAACCAGTCAAACTGAACCATGAAGGCTGGAGATTGAGCACATGCTGCCACTGTCAGTGTTTGATGAATTAAAACTTGAGTTCAAGTCCTCTGTTGGAGGCATAATGGCTGTGTGACCTGGGGCCAGTCACTCAGTGTCTCTGTGCCACAAGAAAATTATTTTTTGGGGAGGTGGGCAGTTGGGGTTAAGTGATTTACCCAGGGTCACACAGAACTCAGGTCCTCCACTGTACCACCTGGCTGCTCCCACAAGGAAATAAATACCCAGCAACTGAAATTAAAATCATAAAGAAAACATTTATAAGTTCCAGAAGTTTTAGTTGCCTGTCTGCCCTGATAGAAGGAAACATATGTCTAGGTTCCTGTCCCCTAAGTGGAGCCAAGACAGTGAATCCAGTGACCAAAAGTAATGGTGTGGGGCAGCTAGGTGTCACAAGGGATAGAGCATAGGCCCTGGATTCAGGAGGACTTGAGTTCAAATCTGGCCTCAGACATATAACACTTACTAGCTGTGTGACCCTGGGCAAGTCACTTAACCACATTGCCCAGCCAAAAAAAAAAATAATGGCATTTCCAGACTTCCAGCTTAAAGGAGTGCCTTATATTTGATATAGCCAGAGGTGTGCAGAAACCAGCTCCCTCTGGCTCTAAAGTTGCCAAATGCTACAGATCAGAGTTATTTATAGAATTTGTAACTCAAAAAGCAACAAATGTTAATTGGAGGAAAAAATAAAATATTCTTTTAAAAAATTGTATTGTGTGTACTTAACCCCCACCCCACCCCACCCCCCGGAAAATTGGTTATTAAACATTTACCAACATACCTCTGGTATACCCATGTTTCAGCAAGGTACTTGACTGAGTCTCTTATGATACACTTGTGGACCAGATGGAGAGGTATGGACTAAAGTCCTAGACCAGTGCTTCTTAAATGTTTAAACATTTAAGAAGTGCTGAAGGGATCGCAAGTGGAAAAAGTTTAAGAAGCCCTGGACTAGATTATAGTATACTTATGTGCAGCAACTATTATATATAGCCCAACAAAATAAATACAAAGTAATTCTATCATTGCTGGAATCAGGAAAGGCCTCATGTGGAAGGTGGCCTTTGGGCAGGGTCTCAAAGGGAGCTAGGAGTTCCCAGTGCCTGGCACACAGGAAGCATTTGCTATTCAATGTTTGTCGTTGCTCTTGTAAAGGTCTATTAATATGGTGCTGCATACAAGGGAGGAAATGCAAAGACAAATTCAAACTGGTTCCTGTCCCCAAGAAGTTCACAGTGCAGTCCACAAATAAGCTTAATACAAAATGTAAGTAGAAACAAAGTACTATGAAGAACAACATTTAAGAGGAAGGCCGTAGATAGGCGACTATGGACCAATGGGAGGGAGGTGGTTTTCTTTCTTTTAAAAAAAATCAAGAAAGGTGAGCGGGGAGAGCATTCCCAGCAATATATGGGGAGTATGGAAGGCCAGGTCGTGACTAATATGTTCCAAGCCTCTAGGATCAGCCCTCATTTCTTGATAAATCTTATTTGACTCTCTTTTAAGTCAGTGCCCCCCCCACTATACTCTGCTCCCTCACTTTTTCCCCAGCACATGCACAGTTTGTACAGTTATCCCTTCCACATCGAGACTTTCCCCATCGTGGTTTTGATATATCATGAGTCAGCACAAGAATTAAAATGGGAATTTGGGGGTAGTTTTATGGAAGCTGCAGATAACAGAAGAAGTTCAGAAATGCATTAAATATACATATAGTATTGTATAACGTCAACCCAAATTTTACAATAAGGTACAGTAAAACACCCCATAAAAGAAAAAGAAAAAATTCAGACTTCTTTTTTGGTATGAAGGGAGAGCCAAAAAACTTAAAGCGGATTTTCCAGATTTCGGGGGTCACTCTTCTCCTAATCCCCGTGATGTAGAAGAGATAACTGTATGTTGAAATTAAAGAAAACCACCTTGAGGGGCAGCTAGATGTTGCAGTGGATAGAGTACCGGCCCTGAAGTCAGGAGGACTGATGGGGTGCTTGGGCGCTTATGTTTGGGTGTTTATGCTTGGACCCCAATTTCTCCCTAGCCTCAGAAACACTATCCCTCACAGTTTCTCCCCATCCCAAGGACACTGTGCCTAGCAATCACTCATGGGTGGGCCCCAGCAAGACCCTTATCTCTCTCCCTGGTGCAGTTCCAAACAGCACCTGAAGGAATTATTAGTTTGAACTGGCTTTGCACTGGGTCATAAAGACATTCTTACCCACTGGACTATCTATAGTACTGCCCTACCTCATTATCTACATCCTCATTAACTGTATTCTAGACTTAAGACATATGCATACTCCCCACATCTATCTTGTCAAACAAGACATTGATTGGTGGCAGACCGGACAACTCTCAGTTACTCTGAACTCTAGTCAACTTAGTGATGTAGCAGGCCTAAAACCACACCTTCATGTGGCCCCCCTTGTGGGCTCTTCCTAGTGAACTCTGGGTAAAACACCTGCTCAGGAGATACAAGAAGTGCATGTTCTTTTAAGAACTGACCACTCCCTAATCCCACCCTGAATCCCCTAGTTAGCATATTTGGCACATGTTTTATTGTATTTTATCCTATATAAACTTTAACTGTACCACTCTAAGGTTGCAGGATCCTTAAGAATCCTTGCCCGCTTTTGTAACAATAAACTTTTTGCCAACTTGACTTAAAGATTGCTTGAGTCTGTGAATTCATTCCAGACGACCCATTGTGTGCTTCAGCCTGAGGGGTCACAACCTCTCGTACAGCAACAGGACCTGAGTTCAAATCCGACCTCAGACCAAACACTTGACATTCACTAGCTGTGTGACCCTGGGCAAGTCACTTAACCCCAATTGCCTAAAAGTTAAAAAAAAATTTTTTTTAAAAGAAAGAAAACCACCTCCCTCCCATTGGTCCATAGTCGCCTATCTACGGCCTTCCTCTTAAATGTTGTTCTTCATAGTACTTTGTTTCTACTTGCATTTTGTATTAAGCTTATTTGTGGACTGCACTGTGAACTTCTTGGGGACAGGGACCAGTCTGAATTTGTCTTTGCATTTCCTCCCTTGTATGCAGCACCATATTAATAGACCTTTACAAGAGCAACGACAAACATTGAATAGCAAATGCTTCCTGTGTGCCAGGCACTGGGGCTACAAATCTTGAAAAGGTAACAGACAGCCTGCTTTCAAGATGTGCATAGTCTCCTGAAGAAAGCCGCTGTGGCTCATTGTTTAGCTTTTGATGGCTCAGAATGAGTGTAAATCACATTTTTTTTTTTGGTGAGGCAATTGGGTTTAAGTGACTTGCCCAGAGACACACAGCTAAGTGAGTGTTATGTGTCCAAGACCAGATTTGAACTCAGGTCCTCCTGACTCTAGGACCTGTGCTCTATGCACTGTGCCACCTAGCTGTCGCTGTAAATCACAATTTTTTTCTGTTCTGTCCAGAAACAATAAGGGTCTTCCCTTCTAAGATAGCTCTGTGATGGTACACTTACCTAGCCCTTTCCAGTTGTCCCGATCTACATCTGGCCACAATCTAGATAGCTCCAGGGGAGAAAGTGAGATTGGTGACATTGCACAGCCCTCCCTCACTTAAATCCAATTCACTTGCAAATGATGGCATCGTCTTCCTCTCGTCATGGGTCCTATTCCTGAGCAAGGACAAACACCACCACCACCTAGCCCTTCGTCAATGAGTGGATGTGGCCTCAGACAAACGGACCTGGGAAAGACCTTAATTTAGAAAGGCTAGAGGTCACCCACTACATCCTGAGCCATCATGGCCAGTAGCCTTGACTTGAGTCCCCGCATTAGACTCTCATGACTGGAGGAGAGAGTGAGGCTGATGACTTTGCATAACACTGCCTCCCTTAAATCTAATACACTTGAAAGTCAAGACCTCACCCTCGTGAAGTCACTGGCTCTCTTTGAGAATAGAGGATGAACAACAAACATTTTCGTGAAGAGATGAGATATATCTTATGCAAAGGGGTTCTCCAAAGGTCGCACGCAAGCGAGCCGCAAGTATTACAACACATTTGGATGCTTTATTTCAAATAAAATAAACAAATAATTTAATGTACCTTTTATTTCCTGAAAGTATGTAGTGTAAGTATGGCATTTGCAAAATAAAACTTACCTACTACTTGTATGTACTAACCTGAAAACACACCAGACCTTAAACGAACAACTCCACTGCTCTCGTTGAAGGGGAATATGCATGTGGGGGTCTCCCAACTCTACCATAGCGTTGTCCACTTAAACTTGTGTCTGGTGCACAGTAAGCCCTTAATAAATGCTTGTTGACAGACTGTGTGCCTTGATTCCGCATGGCAAAGACTGATACGTCATGATCAAAGAATGCTTGAGAATCCTTGCTATATGCAGACAAGAAAAGGCATGAGGGTGAAGAATGCTGTATTTGTGGTCTCAGGATTTGGATTCTGAATCCCAGTTCTGCTACTTACTGTGTGACTTTGGGTGAGTGACCTGATATCTTTGGGTTTCATCAGACTGGTTGACCTCCTAAGTTTCCTTCTAGTT